GGGCAGCCTGGGCCAGGGCTCCGTCACCCTCAGAGGGAAGAAGTTCTTCCTCGGGTTCAGCTGGAGCTTCCTCTGCTTCAGTTTGTGCCCGTTGCCCCTTGTCCTGTCGCTGGGCACCACTGGAAAGAGTCTGGGCCCGTCCTCCTGACCCCCACCCTGCAGATATTTAGAGGCATTTCTAAGGTCCCCTCGCAGCCTTCTCTTCTCCAGGCTGAACAAGCCCAGCTCCCTCAGCCTCTCCTCGCAGGAGAGATGCTCCAGTCCCCTCCTCATCCTCGTAGCCCTGCGCTGGACTCTCCCCAGTAGCTCCTCATCTTTCTTGAACTGGTCTTTGGAGGGCAGAGCTCCGTGGCACTGCTGTTCCCCGGTTTGGGACGGCTGACACGGGCAGCTGGAGCTCACGGTGACATCCTGTGCCAATGCTTGGCGCGAGGTGTTGAAAGCTCTGGCTGTTTCAGTAACTGAAAAAGTAAAACCAGTTTCCTGTTTCCTGAGCTCTGGGGTGTTGGGGACCAGATGTTTTCCCTGGACTGGCAGTGTGGCAAGGGCTGCGTCCCTGCTGCCGGCTCTGCGGGAGGGCCACTGGGTGCTGGCACAGCCAGTTCTGGGTGACCAGACCCATACGCTGCTGGGGGGGCTACTGGGGGCACAGGGACCTGCTGGAGCCTGGGGTGGGTCCTCTCTTCTTGCGGGTGATGCCTGTTTTGCTGGAGTACGTTTGGGGGCTGTCACGCAGGAGCGGAGCAGAGCTCTGGGGAGGACGAGGTCCCGTCTCCATGGCTTGGTGACGGAAGCTGGGCCTCCTGCCCTTCCCTGATGTGGCGGAACCTGGCTTTCCCCCGTCTCGGGAGGGGCGTGGGCCGGCATCCGTGCTGGGACACCGTCGGGCAGCGGTGCTGGGCAGCGTGTCATGCGGGGCGTCTGTCGAGCTGCCCTTCTCTGCACCTCTCGTTTCAGCCCCGTGATGAACAGATTCTTCCCTGCAAATTTCCCCAACAAACAGTACCAGCTCCTCTTCACCCAGGGCTCCGGGGAGAGCAAGGAGGGTACGTTGGCTTGCTGGTCTCTCTGGGAGCCTGAATGCTTTTGGCCTTTACTCTTCTGTTGCTTGCTGGCTTGGTGTTTTGACTTTCAGCCTGGTGAAACGACCTTCTCAAAGACAGAATCACAGAATGGTCGGGGTTGGAAGGGACCTCTGTGGGTCACACAGCCCAACCCCCTGCCGAAGCAGGGTCACCTACAGTAGGCTGTAGAGGACCTTGTCCAGCCGGGTCTTGAATATCTCCCGAGAAGGAGACTCCACAGCCCCTCTGGGCAGCCTGGGCCAGTGCTGAGACCTGCCTCTTGCTCCTGGGTGCAAGGATGTA